TTGCTCAAGTTGAGCATATTATCCCCATAACCCATAGATATTTCAATAGGTAGAAAGGATCCACTGTATTTGTTTGTGTGTCGTTCTGAAAATATAGTTTTTTAAACAGATCTGGTACTTTACCAGGTGTGCCTTTAAGTAATTTCTATTGCATTTATACTTTAGGAGGATTAGGAAAGAGAGTAAAAGAACCCTTTGTCCGTTAGATTCATTAAATGTATTCATGCGTGTGTAAGTGGTATAGAGGCTGTGCTGCTCGGGAATCAGATCCTTGTCCGAGGGTGTAGAGAAAGGTGAAGGGTGTGATATTTACTGCTTGTGTAAGTGTCATAATAATTGTGTATTCGATTCTTTACTTTTAAATGACCTTCCTGGGCATTAAGCCATTATTTTTTTTTTTTTTGGTATTTATCTTTTCCCTGCAGAGTTAGGGAGGGTAAGGAACCACACCTTTGAAATGGTAAAAGTACAGCTGTTCAGGATGTGAATGTGTAATAGAACAGACAGCTCAGCAAAAGTGAAGACAGAAATAATACAAACATTGTTGTAGAAGGAAAAAGACTTTGCTACAAAAATGTATTAAAATGTTGTTTAAACTAATCTTAATTTTCATTATTGGGTCATTAAAAAACCCAAGGAATTTATTCAGAATAAAGTGTAAGTATCTGCTATGTTCTTACAGGAGAATTATAAGAGTTAACATTACTGTATTTTGGTTTTGCGCATCTTAAATCATTCAATCTTCAAACCAACTAGTTAGTGCTTAGTGGAAATAATTCCCAAAAATTCATTTAAACAAAATACCTGTTAAAATAATAAATTTCCTGTGCACCAAACCAACATCAATTACATAATGAAGCTCTTTACATTAAAAGATGAGTCTTGGCTCCAGCGTGCCAAAGCATAAGGTCCTGTGAAAGTGTATCCAGAGTTGGAAGAAAAGCACTGTCTTACCAGCTTAAACCTCTTCCAGTGAAAGTGAGACATTTTGTAGCTCAATGACAACATCTCCCACCGATAGAAATAAGGTCCTGTGACCACCCTCTGGTCACGGAGGCAGAAAGCCTTCCCTGGAGAGGGGAGGGCTAAAGTTTGCGGGGAAGGTAAAAGATGAAAACTCCCAGGGCTGCATCTGCTCTGGCTTTGGGACACCCCGAATGCACACACACGTTATTCTGCAGAATTCGGTGAGCATGAACAGTAGTCATTTTGCTGTCAGTTGAGTTATACTCTTGTAATATCTGAACAGTGTGTCCTTCCTCTGGAACCCTCCTCACTCTCTAAATTTGGAACAGCTTAGAGCCTCTTTTAAAGCGATTTTAGTTTACATTTCATTATAAAGTACTTACCTTAGCAAAACCACAAAAATATATTTTAAAAATACATTTGCCTCATCAGCTGGTATCACCACGTAACGTGCGGGTGGACTCTTAGAATGCATGTGACTGGTAGAAAGTCAGATATTGTAGCACTTGAAAATACGGAGAAACACTGTGCTTTTAGCATTTGTTCAGGCCTTTAACAAGAAGGCATTGGTTTCACCAGGAGGGTACCTGTGTGATCTCACTGAGTTCAACAGGAGCAGATCCGATTCAGTATATAAACACACGCGTAAATTATTTCCTATGTGATTGCCAACAATATACAAAATATTTAAATAATAAAAGTGTGGGGTTTGGACAATGTAACTTACCTGACGTGCAGGGCTGTTCTGAAGAGAGCACAGTGCAAAGGACACCAGGGCAAAGGACTGGCAGCGCTGAAGTGGACACCAGAATTTATGCTAATGGTAATGAAACAAGGTGCACAGATTGAGATATGAAGGTAGTTTAATACTTCGTATTGTGAAATAATAATCTACATCTATTTAAGCGAATAAATTCATTAAAAGACAACATTGGACACCCTTTTGCAGGCTACAGCTCTTCCAGGGTCCTTTGATCTCTATTATACATCATTCTTTGGGTTCTAATTCTGTTTTAAAATCCTGTAAGTTACAAAGCATCTTAGGTCTTATATTTCATACATTTACAAGAGAAACCATTTCTTTTGGTAGGAGATGTGTTCTCTAATAAGGCTTCTATTCTTCGTAGTAAACAACATATTTACAAACCACAAATAACAAAGTAGAAGCTGCAGAAGGGTTATGGTGTGATAATTAAGTACAATGGCGACCCATATGAACAGAAAATGCCAAGGAGCTAAAACAAAGCAACAACAGCTTTGTTTGTTGACAGATGCAGGAGCCATATTGTTAGTTAATTGGGTAATGGTGTAAACATTTGCAAACTCTGCTGTCCCTGGGTGAATTCAGCAGCACACCGAAATTATGGTGAAAAGCTGCGCAGTCCTTTTGCTGCAGGTACTTCTCAGTGCTTTTCGCTGACCTTCTAAGTGGGAAGGCGCTGAGGAAGGGACATCACACCTTGTTATTTAAGGTGCTTGAAGTTCACAAAGTTTGGGGTTTAGACCAGGATGTGTATCTTGAATTACACTCCAGTGAATAACGGGTTTCCATATGGTTGCAGCCAGGAAGACTCTGCTCGTTGCTGAGGCTTTGCTTTTCAGATTTGTTTGGGTTTGGTTTGTTTTATCCAAATGTAGCAGAGACTTGTTCTGTCTTTCCCAGCTTTTCTTGCAAAAAGAGGTTGCAGGGTTTGAAAACAGAGAGGTCTAATTAGATACTGGCTTCAACTGAAGAGGAAAATTGCCTCTCAGGTGCACAATCCCTCATGTGCTGTGAATGGCAGAGACCCCGATTTACCGCGCTTTCCCTGCCTGTGCGTGACAGCGGACTGTAACAGAATACCAAAATAGTCAAAAATGCAACAAGATACTTAATTAGCATACTTCTGTAATCACAAACTTAAATGGACTACTTTGGCTGTTTTTTACATAACAGGTTTGCTTTCTAAGATAATAACCTTTCAATAATTTAAGCAGCATCTGTGCAGGAATGCATAATTGGACTGTAGATAATAGGAGTCTAAAATTGAGTCTGGTTTTTATAAATTATTTTTCTCTTCAGACACTTAGCAATAGCTCACCTTGGTACATGAAGTTTAGGAAAATATGTTCCTGCTTTGGGAATCAAAATAACGCATCTGTTTGGGTTTTCTTTTAAAAATTCTGTTATTCTTTTTTTAGTTCTGTTGCAGTCAGAGGTGAAATCTCCATTGATTTCAATGGACTTAGGAAGTGACAAGCTTTTAATATTTGTTTAAATAATTATTTTTCTGTAATTATCCAATTAAACAATGGAAATACAAATATATTTTAAGTTTGCCTGATTTAGCTGGGGGGGGCAGAAAGAGGAGCAGTACTGGTTTCGTTAATTGGTAGCTTATACTTTTAAGAAACAAATATATTTAGCATTTCTTATATTAATTCATAGTATTTGGTATGCTTGACAGTGTTTTTGAAAAATAATTTTAGAAAGCAGTGGTATGATATGATCATAGATAAAACAAGTTTAACTTTGGAAAACAAATGTGTATCAGTATGTATTTGCATTTATGCCTATAGCATAAGACTAATAATCTATTATTTACAAGCAAACTTCTGATACTGGGTGTGTTCATGCAGCAGAAGAAATTAAAACAGAGTTACCAGGGAATATAAGTTAAAAAATGGAAGCAAAATATTTCAGAAAATGGTAAGATCAAAAGAAATAATGTTCACCTTTCTCTGTGAAGCTTTGCAGTCATCCTCCAAAGGACGTCACAGCGTTGACATGTAAACCTGAATGTCTGAAGGACACTAGGGACCCTTGTCTTCTTTACTTTGTCTGTATAAATGATTATTTAATTTAATATTTACAATAAAATTTTATTTCCATAGAAGATACTTATCCTATAGAGAGCAGTCTAGCTTCTGAATAGAATTCTCAGCGCAAAAGTTTCTTGCTGACTATAAAACTGAGAATTACTTGTGTTGCCTTAAGGGAAGGTTGGTGATGGGATGATGTTGTGCAGCTCGCGGCTGAAGAATTTTGGCAATGATGGTGCAGATGGTGCAATTAGGAAAATAATGTTACAGGCACTGCATTTAACTTCCACTGGAATTCTCCCCTATGCCCACCTGCACAACCAATGGCCTAAACACCTTTACAAATCCAATGAGGAGTCAGAGTTCCAGGGAACAATCCTGTCACGTACACACAGAGGTGTCTACATAAATGGTGTATCGACACATAGTACTTATAATGCATATATATACACACATGCATAATAAGTATGCGCTTCAGGAGCTGGATTGAGATGCAGTTTGACCACATGGTGAGCTGATCTAGCATCTCGCTCCCAGGGAAAGGAGGAGGGTCCTGCTTTCTCCCTTCTGTTTACTGCTCAGTGCTTTTGCTGCTCGCCTTGTGCTGGATTTGGTCTGGACTGGATTTAGGTGTTGAGCAGTTAGACCTGCTCGCATGAAAGAAAAGTAACCAAACAAGTAAAAGAGGACCATTTTCTCCCCCCCCAGCTTTGTCCAGGCGGCTGATAAGCATCAAAATGAGTGAAGGTCAGGTGCTTCACTGTGTGACTTTGAGCAAGACTAGGAAAATAAATAATTTTTATTTATTAATAAGTTTCCCCTTTCCATGGAGAGACCATGTTGGATCAGTTGATTGAAATTTTAGGATACTTAACTGGGACTACAGTTTTATTTTTCATGTTAACTCATGTGTTCTACTAATCCTTCCGAAAGTTCTTTACTTTGACAAAACCAGATACATTCACACATTGGTTTATGGTAGAAAACCAGACCTTCTTGGAATTAGTTGTGGATTCTGTTTATTATTATTCTGTTTATCATTATTACAAAATAATAATAACACACAAAATACAATATATATTTTTTAATCTGCACCCTGGGAATTCATGCTCACAACTTCAGCTGTCACTGCCAGAGGGACTCCAAAATCCCCCCAGTGAAAATCTGCCCTCTGAAGATAAACAATTCAAAAATGTCTACTTACACGTATCTTCCTGTTCTTATCTCTACAGGTGACCCAGCTGGATCCAAATAAAACGTTACTGGAGGTAAAACTGTATCCTCAAGAAACCCTTTTCCTAGAGGCAAAAGAATAGATCAAACAAGATTGTAGGACTAATCATCCTTTGACAAGCCAGAGGCACAGCATCGAAAGGAAGACTTCTATCAATGCCACCTTGTACTATCATCCAACTCAACTCCATGTCACAACTTTGCCTCTTGCAAGAATCCTGAAAAATTGAAAACAAAAAACGTAGCTACTTAAAGTTTCACATACATGAGTATATGTTTCCAACCTCATTTAAATAAGCAGAGGATAAAATTCTGCTATGAACACTGAACATTATGACTCTGTTGCTCACTTATCATCCAGCTTTTGTTATAATTAATGCACTGTTAAAATGTGAGTGATTGTTAAGTAGAATTTTTACTCCTCAAATGCCCCTTTTTCACCAAGAAATCTTGGACATTTCTGCCTGTACTTTTGACACTAGAATGCTGTATATTTGATATCTTGCTGAGCCAGTGCTCTCATATATATGCATTTTATTTCTGTGTTTGGATTTCTACTTTGTCAACTAATTTAAAAAGGCAGAAAAAATTAACGGGACATTCTCAGCCATGGAAATTTAACAGTATTATAGTAGAAAGCATATATAATTTTTGTTAGTACTTTCTGACTTCTTTGATAAGATGTAAGGTTTTGTTTGAAGAATATAGTTTGACATATATGCGAGATATTTATTTACTGGTTCTGCTTTGGGTCTCAGTTCTGATTCAGTTTAGGAAGTATTTTCCATTACATTGCAGTGTGTGAAACTGCTTATTGCATGATGTGAATATTTAAATAACATTAGAAATGGCCAGTACCAGAAACCTGGTATCTTGCCAACACTTTCAGGAATCAGCTGATATTGAATATCGGCTGCTAAAAACCTTTCAAATACCAGATACAAAAGTTCTTTATTTCTCATTGTGAAAGAAAGGGCAGTTCCCATTTTAGCAGTTTTCCTCCACTCTGGCACTTGTTTGTATCCTATTACTCTGCTGTTTTAAAGCACCTTGTTTGTTTCATCAAACAATGAGTATCTTAAGAGGTGGTGTAATAAGAAATCTGCCTTATTATTGCACACTTTGGACAATTTGACAATAGATTACTGATCCCGTCTCAAATTAAAGAAATCCTAGTTCTCTCGTCTGAAATGTATGCACCAACTACCTGCTATCTGATGTGGAAAAAAACTGGTACTTTAAATTTCTCAAGCATAGAATGAGCATACTGAGTCCAAGACCATAACATACACTTGATGCCAAACCTGCATCAAAACTGGTTTGGTTAATATTTTTTTTCTTTTCTTTTCTTTGTTTTTGTTTTGTTTTGTTTTGTTTTGTTTTTTTTAATCTCTGTGCTTACAGGATAGTGCATAATAGCACTGCAGAAGCGGCATCTGCTAATCAAACTTTTTTTTTTTTTTAAAGCCTGGCACATTTGTTTTCCACATCTGTTTATATGTAATTCATAGTGTTTATCGTAGCAAAATGAGTTCTGATTTGAAAATTTTATACTAAGCAGAAACCAATTGCACACATCTTTTAGTCTTTCTTTTTTCTTTGGAAGGATGGTGATATAAAATTAAATGTATGCCTATTACTAGGGTGTTAGTGAAGCTGATATATTGTTACCTTTACCAAAAATGCAAATTTCTGAGCGGGGAAAGCCTTATTCTACCTTTTGTAATTCTGTAATTAGTGATCACTTTTAGAAGTGAAGTATCTATGACAAACAAAAGGTTTTGGAAGTGTAAGCAAATTCTAATCACTTGCAGTTCACAAATAAAAGGATTCATAGCCAACAGAAAGATAAATGTATGTGTAATGGAAAGCTGAATGCAGACACTTCATTCTGAACTTCTGTTTTCTTCCAAAAAAAAAAAAAATCCACTATGTTTATTAAATAAGAAATTAGCATAGGTTGCAAATTGGGGTGATGATGTTTCTACAAACAATCACAGTAACACATACAGCAGGATTTTAAAGTGATGCATATCTTTTTTTTTCAGATTAGCTCTTCCTTCTAAGCTGGCTATTGAGGAAAGGAATTGCTGAAATACTGCTACACAAAGCAAAGCGACCTTTCAGCTAACTTGTTTATATTAATCTGTTCTGATTAACTTTTGTTTGATCTCATCAGGCTGTTTTCTCTCACTCAACTTTATTTCTGTATTTTGACTATATATTCTTTACTTTGATACTAGTTTCATAAAGTTATTAAATGTGGCTTGAATATTTGTTGAACTTGTTGAAGTCAGGGTTTGTTTGGCCTTCTTTTTTCTAAACTCTTTTTTTTTTTTTTCCCCCCTTCATTTTGTTCATGTTGCAAAATACACTGTCATTATCGAAATGTTCTAGTGATGATTAACTGGAAGTGTTCAAAGCGGTGGCATCACTGCCCTCTGATAGAAAGATATTGAGACCAGTATATAGGGATCGTTCTGCCACAACGTAAACAAGTGTATCACTCTTTAAATAAAACATGATTTTGGTCCTTAAATACTTTGGGCCTGATTTCAAAAAGCAACGCTCTAGAGTCACCTTTCCAAATTACACCCTCAATACAAACCAATCCCTGTGTGGAAACATGAATATTCTCTGCCATCATTTTCTGCTCTCCTCAACCATGTATTTGCCTCACACACTCCACTGAGGCGGTTAATCCCCACCTCGCTCTGCAGACTGAGGGTGGAATTCAGCATTACCCTAAAACTGTAACACTCTTGCTACAGAGCCTATCCCCCGTTCTACCTTTTTATCTTCAGGTTCTTCACATTAACGGATTATCGTTAACATGATTAATGCATTAGTTTTAAGTCTTGAGGAATTACTGTTAATGAAGGCAATCCCGTATGATGTGTCAGCTTTCGCTGTGGGCCCTCGGAGCGCTGCGCTGAAGGTGGGGTGTGCTCTGGCTTTTGAGGAAACTTTCCTGCCTGTTGATATTGGTGTTTTAAATCATTATTAGAGGAGATGCAGAATGCAGGTGTGTGCTCTGTATTCTCTGCATACACACTCTTAAAAACTCAGTGAGAGTGCTGAGGGTGTTTCTAACGGAGCTATGTTGGGGGTTTTGTTTATTCTTTTTAATGTAGCAGAAAAGGACTTTGGCTTTCGTAAACTGTACCTACTCAGTGACATTAGAAACTTAAAATAAATTTTCAATTACAGTAATATTTCTACTAAAAAGTTATGATTTCACTCTTCCGTATGTGGGGAAAAACAAAACAAAATCGCCATGACCCAGCTTCACAGAAGGATTGAAGCATTTTTTTGACCAAGCCTCATGTCCAGACTCCCCAAACAACACAGAGGAAGATTTAGGTGCCTTAAAATGGGGTCCACAACAAGAAAAAAACCAAACATTTAAGTAGGTCTCCAAACAAAACAAAGCAAAAACCCCACAGAATACATGTGAGGAGTCACTACCAGGCAGAACCAGGAACGGGTCAGAGAGGCCAGCAGGAAATGTTAGAGATGATGTCTCATGTGCCACTACTTGGTGGGGCTACGGCTTCCTTCTGTCTGCTGGCACCTCCTTCCACCTGGGGTTCACAGCCCTGAGACCGTACATCGAGGTAAGCACCGCGTCCTTTCTAGGCAATGTTAGAGATGAAGACATCTCAAGTGCCACTGCTCGCTGGGACTATGGCTTCCTTCTGTCTGCTGGCCCAGGGCACCTCCTTCCACCCGGGGTTCACAGCCCTGAGGCCGTACATCGAGGTAAGCACCGCGTCCTTTCTTCCAACATTTGACAAAGCACAGGATACTTTTTTTTTTTAATTTTGAAACGGCGATGGTGGCCTTCTCCTAGGTCTCCTCTGCAGTTTCCACTGAATTTTACTTTACGCTGAAGTTTTCCCATGTTGTGAGTCGTACGGGCTGGAAGGAAACAAGCCCCTTCCTTAGACCTTTCAGAAGATGCCCTGACCACCACTGTAGTACAGGCTGCTCTTACAGTGTGTACTCACTCTCTGCTGTCAAAGCCATTGGACTGCCAGAGCACAGAGCTCTGTAAGGTCGCTGAGGGGGATCACACAAGCAGGAGCGCCGGTCTTTGGGCCAGCAGATGGGACACTTGCCTGGGATGAGCCGTCCAGCCCTTTCCAGTGAGGGTTCATTGCAGTCATTGGTCTTTTCAAACAAACGCCCAAGGAGGAGAGACTGAGTATCAATTCTGCACCCTACTTAAATTTTCTTATTCTGCTTGTATAAAACAGAAGGCAACAGCAGTAGTCTGAATTACTTTTTTTTTTTTCTGGACAGGTCATGAAAGCAAGCAGAAATTACTACATATATTACACACAACATGACCCACTGTTTACCTGAAACCATTTCCTCACAGATGACAGAGATGAAGGAGTACCAAATTTAGCACTAAAACTTGTTAGGATCCGGGCAGTTTTATACTCGCTTAATCTGGTATAGATTTACAGTTGCTGCCAGAAGAGCCACCTCCGCCCTCCCGTCTTGCCCTGGCACTAAGCAAACTCATCTAGTTAAAAACAAACTCATTTTTTTCCCTGGAGTGGTTTTCAGACAGCTCCAGCTTGCCCAGTGGCTGTATGTACACCGGCACCGACAAAAAGCAGAAGGTGGAGCGTGCAGGGGGTGAGAAATTGAAGATGAGAGGGAGAGGAAGGCAGGGCTGCTCCTTCTGGCAGCAGGGCTGGTTTCCGGGGCACTATATCAATCACAAATCTCTAAATATTTTTTTGAACGCCTTGTTGTTACCTTTAAATTTTACATTCACTTTGGAATTTCAAGCAAACTAAACAAGTGATATTAAACAAGTTTGGCTGTCTGAAGTTTCCCTAAGTTTTGTGAAAGCTGCCAGCCCAGAATTCAAGACATAGGAAGCCAGACCAGAGGCGAGTGTGCGCAGTGAGGGCTCCCTCAGATCTAACCCTTCCCAGTCACCGCAGCCCCGAGCGAGTGCCCAACCTGCGGGGAAAAGGTTTCAATGGGATTTAATGTCTCGTTAGATACCACGGAATTCCTCAGTCAGGACTTTTCTCTGTGGATTCTTTTACGTGTAAGAAAGACTGAAGTCACACTGCAGCCTTAATGTTAAGTCAGTTAAAATATCGCTCAACTGCTGGTTATAGCAGTAGGCTTCATTAGTTCCTGGGCTCACAGGACTACTGGTTAACACAACTGTTACTTTGTACTTACTACCAATGAGTTTAATTTACTATTTTCCCAGCTCTGTGTTGTGAGTGTCTTCCACAGTTCATCGCTACTCCCTTTCGATCCAGTCATCCTGAGTGAGTTTGTATCATTGATTAATACCATCCCTCGGTACCGACAGCTGTACGAGCACCACGGATAACACGGATCCTGGGGGGACATTGCTGGTATCCTTTCTCACTGTGAAAACTATTGCTTACTGCCTCCAGCTATCAATCTCTGAGCAATACTCCCTTTTTTCCTCAAGAAAAGACGTTTCCACTGTAGTAAACATCACTGCAAATGACTAGCCTAGCTTTCCTGCACTTGCCCTACTTTAACTACTCCTTTTACACCCCGAAAATGTATTAGTCCAATTATCTTTCTGGCAGGCTTCTTGTTTCTGGTATTTTTTAATGATCCTTTACACCTTCGGCACGTGTTCCTCAAGGTCTGTCAGTTGTTTAGTTTTGGTTTTGCGTCTTCGAAAAATTAACTTTCCACAGTTGGGTTCTTCTCTGTTCTCCATGTTTGAGTCTGTCTTTCAGCTGCACCCTCTAATGTGCTGGTTAATGTGGCTCAACTTCTTCTGGAGTCTTTTTAAGTAAGATATATGTGTACTCTGAGGATAAGACAGTCTTCAAATAGTTTCAATTACAATCTTGGTCTTTTACCTGTGACTTTATTTGCCTTCATTATGTTCCTCTTAATGCAGTTTTCTTCTCAAAGAGAAATGCCACTCTGGTGATTTTTTAGGTTTTTTTTAAGTAAAATAGTGACTCTCAGTGTGTTTTCATTTACCTCAAAATGTGTTTTCTATCATTTTATTTGCCTCTAGCTTTATTTGACCTATTGTCACAGTCTCTGTTATCGAGTTACAACCACTCATGGGTATTTTATACCTTGTAACTACAGCCCCCTACTCATGATCTTGTCTTTTTGAAATTTACTGCAATACCTAATTTGTTGTCATTTGAAACCTCCCATTTCTCAACCATTTTAGAAGTTTTGAAATTACTCTAATATGTACATAGAAATATTCTTCATTTTGTTCAGGTGTATTTGCCTGGTTTTGTATGCCTTGATTAATTAGGACTTTTGTTGTGTAAGGACAAGGAAGCATTTCCAAAATGTGGTGGCAATCGAGAAGGGATTTTTTTTTAAATGACAATTATAAACTTACATCTACAGAGGAATGTAATAAATTATTTTGTGGATCTAATTGAAAAAAATCTAGATTTTTTTAGAACTTAAGTATAACCTGCAAATTGCAGAAAACAACCAAGTTGCTGAAAAATACTTCTGCTTTTTCAAGGTTTAGACAAAGGTGAGTAAGACATTGTGTGCCATCGCAGTATCCTCTAATGTAGAAAAAAAAAAGGAGACTTTCAAGATAAAAATTCCTTGTAAAGTTTGTTCAATCCACTTTAACTTTCAGTTTACCAATCTTCCCTAGTCCTTTGAGAAGTGTTTTTATGCACATGTATTAAAAGCATTAAAATACTCTTAACTGGGAAGTCTTGGTAGATACAAAACATTCATTTCATTTTATAAGCAATTTCAAAGGCAAATGCACAGTTTACTCCTTTGACAATTACATGTTGGCAGCTATAGCGTTCTTTCATCATTCCCCGTATTTTAGATGTTTTCAAGTGTATTTTTTCCTTCAGATAATGCTTATTATCATATTTGCCTTCTTGTCATCAAGGAATCACTACGCAGGAGCAGTATTTCTTATCAAAAAATGACAGATTCAATAGAATACACATTCTAACCAGTTAACCCTTAGAGAATTCTTAATTTTTCTTTACATACTCCTAGTTTTATTAGCGTTTATCCAGCTGCCATCATGGTCTACTTGTCTACTTCTGGAATCAAACCAATTCCTTGGGAAATTATCCTAGTTTTCCAAAACGAATCAAAATGGTGATCCGGTAACTCTGCTTTTTACTGAAACAAAAATGCTGCTAGTAATAGGAATAATGAAGCAAATAAAAATTAGATTAACACCACTGGATTCCATGATCTAGTGGATGCTTGATTCCTGCTTTAAGATTCACTCAGGTCAAATAAAAAATATTTTAAGAGGTACCCAGCGACTACGGTTCGTAAGAAATGGCTCAGCACAACTGAGCGCGCTACAAGCGAGTGCTGAAAGAGGCAATATTATTAAGAGTCACCATGTTGCCTTTATACCATCCTGTAGTAAAATAATTTCCCATAAGCAAACTGAATCCTTAGGAGACCAATTAAACTAACTTTACGGCAGTTATGCACTACTGGGTTGGTGAAAAGGGGCTGGTCACAGCAGGGTAAGAATCCAGCTCATAA